TTCTTGGATTATTTGCTCAGCATACAGATTGAATAAGTATGGAGAAAGGATACAACCCTGATGCACACCTTTCTTGATTTTAAACCATGCGGTATAGATGTACCTTAGATGGCTGCTCGCAAGCTTAAGACCCTAGACGCTGCTCATGAAAGTGGGATGTAGAACATTTTCTTTATGAGCTTTGTTATGCCAATTGACCTAGATGTCCCGAGACCAATATCCCTCATGAACATAGATGCAAAAATTCTCAAAAAAATTCTAGCCAATAGAATTCAACAGCATATCAGAAGAGGCCATCTAAGATACATCTATTGGTCCTATCCCGGCTGGAGCAAAGGGGAATGAAGAAAACAAAAGACACAAGAAAAATATTAGTCCAAAGGAATAATATACCCCATGAACCACAGCCTCCACCAGTCTGAGCCCAGAAGAACTAGATGGTGCCCAGCTACCTGGTGGCACCTTCTTGCCATTTTTGCCTGGCTTTGGTATCATGGTTATGCTGGCTTCATAGAATGAATTCAGGAATATTTCTTCCTTTTCTATTCTCTGAAATAGTTTGAGTAGTATTAGTGTGAGCTCTTCTCTGAATGTTTGGTAGAATTCTCCAGTGAAGACATCTGGGCCTGAGCTTTTGTTGTTGTTGAGAGTTGTTGTTTTTTTTAAATTACCTCTTCAATCTCTTCTTTTGTTATGAGTCTATTTAGTTTTTCTACCACAGTATGTGTTAGTTTAGATAGGTAGTGTGTTTCTAGAAATTTACCCATTTCCTCTAGGTTTTCAAATTTGTTGGAGTACAATTTTTCATAGTATTCTGTTTTAATTCATTTTATTTCAGTTGGGTCTGTTGTGATATCACCCATCTCATTTCTTATTTTGGTTATTTGCTTCCTCTCCTCTTTTTATTTTGCTGTTTGGCCAGTGGTCTGTTGATTTTGTTGATCTTTTCAAAGAACCAACTTTTGGTCTTTTTGATTCTTTCAGTTGTTTTTCTGTTCTCCATTTCATTTATTTCTGCTCTGATCTTTATTATTTCCTTTCTTCTGATGCCTGAGGGCTTATTTTGCTCTTCTCTTTCTTTTTGTTCAAGCACTGTGGGGCTAATGTTTTGATTTTGGTTCTTTCTTCTTTTTGATGTGTACATCTATTGCTGTAAATTGACCTCTAAGCATTACTTTTGCTGTGTCCGAGAGGTTTTGGTAAGATGTGTGTTCATTCTCATTTGATTCTATGAATTTTTAAATTCCATCCTTTATTTCTTCTTTTATCCAGTAGGTTTTACAGTTCAATTTCCATGTATTTGATTT